TACGGCCCTAAACCCCACTTTCCTGAAACCACCCACGTCACCATATACAGCTCTGCTCAACAAGTTTCCGGAGATTACAACGCAGTCTCCCATGGATAAGACCCCAAGCACACTGTGACCCACTGCATCGTTACCACAGGCCCACCAGTTTACTGCCGCCCTCGCCGACTTGGCACTGATAATCTTCGAATTGCTCGCAACAAGTTTCAGCATATGTTACAGTTGCAAAACATTCGTCCGTCATCAAGCTCGTGGTCGTCGGCGCTACACATGGTTCCCAAGAAGAACAATGACTGGCGGCCCTGTGGTAATTATCGGGCTCTCAATGCAGTCACCGTTCCAGATCGATACCTGTTACCCAATATCCAGGACTGTACTGTCTTTTTAACCGGCAGAAACTGTATACTCAAAGATTGATCATGTGAAAGCTTATCACCAGATCCTCGTTGAGCCTTCTGACATTCCTAAAACTGCATTAATTACCCCATTTGGGCTCTATGAGTATTTACGAAAGCCTTTCGGTTTGAGAAACGCAGCTCAGACATTTCAGCGTTTTATAGACGAAGTCACAAGAGGCTTACCGTTTTGTTTCGCCTATATCAACGATCATCTCGTTGCCAGCAAGGACGCTGAAACGCACAAGGCACATCTACGTGAGCTTTTCACTCGACTGCGTGAATTATGACCTTGCCATCAATGTAGAAAAGTGTCAGTTTGAAGTCTCGGAGATAGCATTCCTCGGACGTCAGATCACTAAAGATGGCATCACTCCTCTACCTGACAAGGTTCAAGCTATCCTCAAGTACCCGCCTCCCACGTCCATACGCAGTCTACGACGTTTTCTCGGACTCGTCAATTTTTATCGCCGCTTCATTCCTACATGCTCTACACTGCTGCAGCCTCTAGAAGCACTACTCTCGACTTCGCAAGCCGAGTCAGCTGCACTTTCCTGGGACACAGTCGCGGATCAAGCTTTTGCCGCCGTTAAGACGAAGCTCGCCCAGGCCACCCTCCTGCATTACCCTTCACCAACTGCTCCCACTAGCGTCATGGTGGACGCTTCTTTCAAAAGCAGTTGGGGCCGCTCTTCATCAATGGATCAATGGTGCATGGGCTCCAATTGCCTTCTTTTCCCGCAAGTTACGCGACACTGAGCGCCGATATAGTACTTCGGACGGGAGCTCCTCGAGGCCCACCTTGCGGTGAAGCATTTCAGGTACTTCCTTGAAGGGTGACAATTTGCCATTCTTACCCCCTTGTTTCGGCTTTACGTTCCCGCAGTGCTACGCACACTCCTAGAGAACTTCGACACCTTGCTTTCATCGCCGAATTCACCACAGACATACGTTACGTAAAAGGCAGCTTTAACAGTGCAGTGGACGCTCTCAGTCGTATTACCATCAATGCCACGACAGGCGCCACTGACCTTTCATTGTCCTCGTTCGCGGAGGCACAGGCATTAGACGATGAGCTTCCACGACTCCGATCCTCTACTTCCCTCCGACAAGAACAATTCAACTTCCCCGACGACGATGTTACGCTCTGGTGCGATGTTTCACACAACTGCACTCATATCTATGTTCCTTCACAGCTTCGTCGTGCTGTTTTTGACACCCTCCACTCCATCTGCCATCCAAGCGTAAGAGCTACGCAACATCTGGTCACTGAACACTATGTCTGGCGGCGCATACGGTCTAACATTCGTGACTGGGTTCGCACTTGTAGAGAAGGGAAACGAGAAAAAAAGGAAGGCAGGAAGGTTAACCAGATGCTAGTATCCGGTATGCTACCCTACACTGGGATTGGGAATAGGGGGTTGAAAGAGAAAGGGAGAGTTAAAAAATAAATAAGAGAAAAAAACCGACACACACGCACACACAAAATCAGTCCACTCAGAGGCGTTCCGACAGGCCAGTAGTTCGCAAGAAGCCCAGTAGCGCTTGGACGGCTTTCTTCTGTGACGATGAGTCATGACGATGGCGCAGTACATTTTCTTCTGACAGCGGCTGGTCATCTAACCTGTTTAGTTTATTGGAAAGCTGTTGTCTTTCCAGGTTGTATTTAGGGCAGTCACACAGGATATGCCGAATGGTTTCTTCATCTCCGCATTGTTAACAGTCGGCGGTGTCGGCCATACCTATGCGGAACGCGTACATGCACTTGTAGAGCATGTCATCGTATCAAGGTGCAACGGCACACCAAGCCTCCACGGGGAAAATTCCCTCTCCCTGATGCACGTTTCGACACTATTCATTTGGACATTGTCAGGGCCATTACCTCCATGTCGGGGAAATACGTATTTGCTTACGTGTATTGACAGGTACACTAGGTGGCCTGAAGCAGCTCCTATGCCTGACATCACAGCAGAAACAGTTGCTCGTACCTTTCTTGCTACCTGGATTAGCCGTTTTGCTGTACCATCAACGGTGACTACTGATCGAGGCAGACAGTTTGAGTCAGCGCTTTTCACCTCTGTCACATCTCTACTTGGTTGTGCGCGTATTCGCACAAGCGTATCACCCAGCATCCATTGGCTTAGTGGAGATACTCCACCGTCATCTAAAAGCAGCACTCGCCTCGCAGCCTCACGCCGAAGATTGGGTATCACACCTGCCCGTCGTGCTTCTCGGCCTCCGTTCAACACTTCGGCCAGAACTGGCCTGCCCTGTAGCCGAGATGGTTTATGGCTGCACACTCCGTTTGCCTGGTGACCTCAGTCAGCCCCGTTACTACCCAGAGTGTTTCGAATCCATCTTCTTTCAGCCCAGTGTCTGCGGATCTTCATGAAACACTTGCACTCATCACCAGCTTAAGCTCACACTAAGAACGACGTTTTTCTGCCGGCAAACCTACAGACATCTTCACACGTTTTTGTTCGTGTCGATGCGTCTCGCCGTGCTGTTCAGCCTCACTATGACGGTCCTCTCCCAGTCATCAAGCGTTCTGAACATCATTTTACAATCCTGCGTAATTGGCATGAAGACACAGTCAGCATTGAAAGGATCAAGCCGGCACCCATTCTGACAAGCTCCGTCTGATCTTTTTTTTTCTTCAAGTACCCACGGCCACTTGTCTGCAGGGGGGGGGGGGGGGGCTATCTGTGGCATACTTTTCTTCTTCTTCTGGAACGACACACTTGGGACATAAGCTAGTAGAGGGTAGTCGGCTGAGAAAAAAAGGAAGAAATAGTTGGAACAACGGCAGAGATGCATTAATAAACCGCGCTGTGTTTTCGGAATCGCGTTTCAGAGTGCTATAATGCCAATCTTATTTATTTATTTTAAAGCATTTCTTGGCAATTTTCAAAGCGCCTTGACCGCTCCTATAACTAAGAACGTATATCTATCTATCTATCTATCTATCTATCTATCTATCTATCTATCTATCTATCTATCTATCTATCTTCTATCTATCTAGCTATCTATCTATCTATCTATCTATCTATCTATCTTGTCGCTTACTTATTTATAGCTCTCCTGGCCGTTTCGGTAATGGTATCGATACCAAAATTACTAAGGCCTACCATGACTGTATGACGAGCATAATTGACTACACTTAGCATGAAAATCATGACATGTATGTCATGATTTACATTTCACTGTCTTGCTGCTCTGCGGTGGTCTCGTTCACATGACATACTGAGTACTGGTATGGTATGAGATGACTGCATGGCAAGCATAAGTGACAGACCCTAACGTGGAAATGATGATATGCGTGTTAAGTCATGACTACAAGCCATGCTCTTGGTGCGCTCGTGGTGTTTTCGCTAGCTTCACATTCACCGAATCTGGTATAACATTACGTGAATGGATGATGAAGGTGAATGACTGGTTCAAACATGATAATCAGGAGATGCGTGTCATGTAGAAGCATCACTTCATGCCACACTCATGATGCGCTCACGGCCGTTTCGCTTGCTGCACATATACCAAATTTGGTATTACAAAAGCGAACAGACGATTAAAGTAAATGACACGTCCAAACATGTTAATCCTTACATGCGTGTTATGTAAAACACGACCCCAAGCAACGCTTATAGAGTGCTCGCGGCCGTTTCAGCTAGCTCCGCATATAATCAATTTGATATAACGTGACATGAATGAACAACGAAGGTAAATGAGACGTCCAAAGATGATAATCATGGAATTGCAGTCATGCACCACATGATCTACGTCCGTCTGGTAACGCTGTGCTGAGTTTCAGGTGACATATCAACCTTGATTGATTCATTTGTGGGGTTTAACGTCTCAAAATCACCATATGATTATGAGAGACGCGACATATCAACCTTGCTCAGTCGTGCTTTGCATATCATTGATTCACACTTTGCGTGGGTTGTGCCGTTTTTTTGCTATAAAACTGACGTAAGTGATCGAACGCCTGTTCCTACGTTACTTTGGACGCGATCCTATGCTGCCACACGGTAGTCGATCGGCCTCAATTTACATAAAATATCCATTGTCCTCACAACGCTTCGTCCAAATCCAAATGAAGAGGTAGATTAACGTTGAATGCGTCACAAGAATTTGTTTCCACCATGCATGGGATGTACCGATATATTTCTCGATAGTGCTTTAGTATAAATATGTGATTGCCGCCATACTGAAACATGAACTACGGTTCAAATCGTAGAGCAGTAGTTACAATCAACTTCAGCATAGATACTTTGGCAACGTGCTCTACACCTTTCCTCAAATTTAATTTCAACTGCATGTACTACTACACAAAAATTGTGTAGCCATTTTTCATGTCGTTTTGTTTTGAAATTTCATGTCAAATTATTATTGCAAGCGAAAACGGCAATGAAATCGTGTGAGCCACTCATAAAATTACGCCAATGAAGAAAATGACAAGACAATAAATTGGCGGGCTTTTCACGCCTGTCAGCCATCATCAGCAAAGTAGAATGCTTCGAAGCGGCGAATAAAAACTTTGCCATTCATGTTTATTTTCTTTTTAATTCCTTCCCGTGTAATTGTGTGCCCTTTTTGTTATTGCAGGAGCAAAACGGAGAGCACAAGATAGTCCTTATCATTTTGGCGTTCCCGGCGATATGTTTGCGCTCAAACGAAGGCTACATCAATTCAAGTTTTCATTCCAGTGCTACCTACCTAAGTTTGATTCTCTGTTCCTGATAGAGTTCCAAACCCTGGGTGAAATGTCAGGAACAAAACTTTCATTGTACTCCATATAAGCAAGCGAGCACTATAACTAGGCGAAGCGTAGTCTGTAAACACGAATTTAGCTCACGCGCCCAACGTACTTTGAGGAGAAACTTAATACGCAGAAGTATGCCGACCCGGACACAATCAGTCATCACCATTGGCCGGAAAGTGGTCAAGACTCCTGAGAAACTACGCCTTGCTCGGCTTAGTTGGGATATTAGGCATTTTGCTCCTGCCCCTGCTGATCGTCAGCCACCGCTTCCAAGAAAGCTTCTTTGCCTTTGTATACGTTATTTTGCAACGACATATGAATGATGAGGTAAGTGAGATTCGACGTTTCCTGATGTCTCACCTCGATAGCCTGTCGTCGCAAGAGCCATCCTTGAAGGCCCACGGCTCGGTGCGAGTCCTGGAAGTTGGTGCGGCGTATGGACCAAACCTCGAGTTCGTCGAGCGACCCATTGAGTACTCGGTGGTGGAACCCAACAGGAGCTTCAAAGATTCATTCATGGAAAACATCAAGAAAAACTCAAAAGTTTGTATTCCCCTTTTTTGTTTGTAGATATAATGACATTACTTTTTTCCTGTAGAGCCTCATCACTATGCCATTTCACCAAGGTTTTGGGGGGAAAGGATTGGGTGATATTGAGGGGCAAATCGTGTAGCTTTGTTCTTCATATTTAGTACTAAAGATGAAACAGCAGGAATACAACAAGTGCACAGGGAAACCAACAGCACAGTACACTACCACTGATTGCTAATTCAGACTTCTTTGAGTAAAACCGCTGTATTACAGAAGCCAATTTTACTCATATATACAGTGAAACCACGAAACTTTCGTTCAATACATTTATTACCATTTCAAATTAGACGTTACAAGGAACTATAGACACATAAACAGACCTCCTGTATTTGAAAATATGAAGGCAGGTGTCTTAGTACTTGCTCTTTCATATCGTCTTAAAGTAACAAACGTTGAACCAAGAAAGTTTAGTTCCACCAGTAGTGCTTGGGGTTCACCCGAAGCAAAAAGCTGTCAAAAATGCAACCTGAATGTGCCGGCTTGTACAAAAAGTAGTGTTCACATACATATTTTTCAACATGATTGTAATTAGTAATCAAACAATATTTTGCATAGCAGAAAAAACAAATTAGGAAGACAGAAATACTGCTAAACATAAAATTTACACTTTAGATACGTGAAAACAGAAAGGAAATTGCGCTAAACAATGAAAACATCGTTCAGTATATTTAGACATGATTGCTTTTACCGTTTTGTCATGGCTACCTAGATGATAGTGCAAGTTTTTCAATTAGTGTATTACAACCAAGAATGTAATAAATGCCTACTAATAATAAAACAGTAGTGTTGTTTGCCAAATCAGACATGAAAAGGTCGTGTTAATTTTTTTGGTAATGATGCTAAAATTGAAACGCTTTTTCTGATATTTGTTAAAAGATACGACACATTGAAAGGCAGAGCTTGTGTGCCATCAGTAGTGCGCCATCGCGCCAACAATCATTTCTAGTGGCTTCTGGTTCTAGGAACACGAACTTGTTTGTGTTTTGTTTTTAATTGCAGTTTTCTTTAAAAGCTTTGAGTACTTTCATTTGAAATGAAAAGTGAGTACAATAGATGGGGCTCAAAACTTAAATTGGCATTTATTTCTTGACTGTGAAAAAATAATTGTTGATTGAGATCAGCATAGGAAACGTTAAACGCGACGCATCCTAATGCTTCTTTCTATATTTATGAGAAATTTGCGCAGGTTTGACAGTGTAGTTGCTTCCAACACAAGTCTGCGAAAGTTCACATGAGCACCGCACATCGGTCGGCAAACCCGCTCATGAGTGCACTCACGCTGATTCACTCAGGCTCTAATCGAGCCGTGAGTCTGAGTCTGAGTGAGTCCGAGGAGTAATATTTTGACGAGTCTGAGTTCGAGTGAGTTCTGTTGAACAAAGTTTTTGTGAGTGTGAGTCCAAGTTAGTCCGCAAAAGAAAACTTCGCTTACTCCGAGTTAATCCAAAGCGCACGATTCTTGAGTGAGTCTGAGTGAGTTCCACCTATTTTTTGCCGACCTATAGTCTTACCTACTCATCTTCAGCGTTATTCTCAGCCTTACCTGGACTCATGTTTATACTCAGGTGTACATACGTGCATTCCAAAGCAGTTTCTTTCATACACGATTTTATTATCTATTGATCGGAGGCTTGCATACCGTAAAGGAGTGTCTTGACTACCCATTGCTCGCGAACTCCCCTAAGAACGTTCCAGATTGATACATCTTATGTTGTCATCTCTTTTAAGAAAAAATATCTTACTGGTTCCAGAGCACTCATAATTAGTATTGAAGGGTACCATGTGAGGTACCACGTGATATATTGGTGTTATATAGCATAGGCATAATGGACAACAAAGAAGGTCAATTGGTGAACTTGAGTCCGAACAAGTCCTTAGCGCAAAATATGTTTCATGAGTGAGTGTGAGTGATCTGCACACGTTTTTCCGACCTAAATCTTGCAGTGCGTTATATATTGCAACGCGACAGCGTTGAAGAGCAAGCGTGGCAGAAATTTGTTGCCGGCGTCATTGGCTACTAGCCAAGAATCACATAGATTCAAGTATTAGCAGTTGTGGGAAAACTTCTGCATCGTGATCACGTGTTCTACCAGTGAGCCGTGCCACTCATTTTGCGTTGCTTAAGACAGGCGTCATGAAGTGCAAGAGGTCAGGTTCAAGGAGTCGTAAACAGGGCTTCTATGCTGAAGGTGACGTTTAAACAAGCAGAGTTGGCCCCTTGAAGGCTGCACCCTTGAAGAAGAAGCGTTGCATCCAGAACCCATCCCAACTTTTTCATCACAGGCTTGTATCTTCCTTAGACTCCTTCCTTTTGAAGATTTACACTAGCACGCGTGATGTTCTGTGGACAATATCTCTGGTTTGACGTCCTGAACCTACGATATGAACATTATCGTTTGAGACGGCGTAGCGGAGAGCGCCAGAAACTGCGACCACCCGGTGTTCTTTACTGCACATTGACATTGAACAGTAGACGGGCGTCTAGCGTTTTGCCTCTATCAAATCGAACCTGTGACCTTCGGATCTGCAACCGAGCATCCTAACCGCTACTTTACCGGGGCAGACATAATGTTCTGTAGAAGAAGCGTAGAGTCGTACAGGCATAACAGCGTGTGTAATGCGCAACTAGTGAATGTTTTGGAGGCCCACACGTTACGAAGCACTCAGGTACAATTCTAATCATAATTAGAGATTGTGAGTGACGCCAGCTTGCCTTCAGAATCGCCTAAATGGAGGTTTTTTTATTTCTGATTGCAGACTGTTTTCTTTACTATGGTGTGTTTTTAAATAAAATATAAACGAAGAAATTGAAGTTGACCACTACTTGGGGATGGTTACCCGTGGTGTGTTAGTTTGTGTTATTCTTATAGCCGCGCTGTTTATTCTTCCGATGCAAATAAAGAGATGAATGAATGGAACGTCAAGCTGTGTTCAGAAACCCGAGAGATGCCAATAGCGCAGAATTTATCGCAAGTTAGGACAGGCAGACTAAGCCTGACCGCATATAAGATTACATAAAAGCCGCTTTGCAGCTTATATTCATTTATTCTTAGGTCTGTTTCAAGCGACTGCGCAGTGCATGCCTCCCAATTGCACTGGTGTTTATTTTTTTTTGCCTTGTGAGCTATCTCATGTTAGCAATATCTAGAAAATGAGAACAAAGCAATCTTGCTTAAAGTGATGCATTTTAATGAACGCTTAGAAAAGAACGTAAGATTACACAAGTGTGTGATTCAGCGCAGACTTTCGGAAAATATGCTCACGCGATCTGTGAAGACACGCTGTGTCCCTTCCATGGATATCTTCAACTTTCGCGTCCATTGGATATCGTCACTTGTGTCATCGTTTTCTCTGAAGCAATAAGTGTCTTGAATCGACGCAGGAATCTTACCTGCAACGTTATCGTTTGAGGGTGTATGAGGTCATGTTGCAAAGTTATTGATGTTATCAAGGATGGTTTGGCGACACTGACAGCGCTTCATTTTGGACTGTCCACCATACTGGAGCAGTGTTAATATTTCATGGCTGTTGATCCGAAGGTCCGGGTTTCGATGCTGGCCGCTGTGGTCACTTTCAATGGGTGGTAATGCGGGCTAGTTCATTGTAATCACTGGCATTCACTTGTTTTGCCTCCGCGTAGTTTTGTGTTGGCGGCTTATTTTGGAGCCACTGGAATGAATGCGAGCATTTCTATGGAGGTTAAATAATAGAAACCCGTGTACTGTGTGATTTTGAAAAGTGTTGTACATACTCTCTTTAACAGTAACGTAGACTCGTTCCTCATTTCTTTCCAAATATTGAAACCAGTTCCCGTAACAAGTTTCGTAAATCAAAAAGGAACTCGCTGCAGTCACTCTTTCAATATAGAAACGTGTCGTTACATAAAACATTACATTTGAACTTTTAATAAAATGTAGTGTCAGATAAACCTGACACAAAATAAAGAGAGCAATTTAGAAGTAACATCGACCTGCATATGTTACACGAATTTAACATCACCGGGATGAGGTTGGTAAAATGAACATAAAGGAGCGCTCTTAGACGAGTACATTAGAGACTACCTGCTTTACTACCGACTTGTCAAAGCACAACTTCCGTAGTCGGCGATGAACTTTTCCAGTAATTACAGCTTCGCACCTTTTCCTGGTGGGTCGGCGCTGAGGAATTAGTGTGAGAGCGGAGCGCCAGCGGGCAAAGCAGGCGACGCTTTCCCGGTTTCTTCTGCTTTCATCGCGCGCCGTGAGTGGTTTTTGTTGGTTTAAGGAACTCCTGTTGTGAAGAAGCGGCTTTGTAGGACCACTCTGAGTTTCGTGCACGCAAAGTAGGCTGTGTTGTTTGTCCCTTATAACCGTAATCATAACTGAAAACGCCGAAGAAGGAAGGCGTGCACACTGTTAGATATTGGAAGAGAAGGACGATGATGGGACTAGCGCGCGGAGCGTGTGGTGCGTGCCTTAACTGATTTATTTTATCCTTCGGGGGGATTACATTAGGTTATAGCCTCACGGAAGTTTGCTGCGCTGTGTGTGCGTAAATGGCAACGAAAAGATTACCTTGTTAGTCTATCGTTAATATTATTTCCGACTACGAGGCTACCTGAATGTCTGACTCATAACTAACTCACTTGAGGATCGTGCCGCCCAGTTCTTGGTCGATCCCCCTTTGTGGGCGAGTGCCAGCAAAGCTAAAGGCTGATCACCATCATCATCATCATCATTATCTGATTTGTGACGGCCGACAATAGATGCGTTTATGCAACGGCGCTCTGGGCAATGAAGACGCCCTGTTTTTCATCTTTACAATGAAGATGCTTCCTTTATTCTGCATATTATGGTGCCGAGAAACTCGGGTTTTGTGAAATTATTGACCCCGCTACGAAAGGACTTCCTCACCTACGAATATGGATCGGATAAAGGGCAAACAAGCGAACCAACGAGCTTTACATACGCGTC